CATGTTATATCTTAAATCGGCGAAGTGAAAGACATTATTTTGCAGCTATACATCAACGATGAAATCTTTTTTGAAGATATTTTATCATATTATACCTTTCCTTCGAGTGCTTTATTAAGACCACGCTCAAATTTCAATAGATCCTTTCATTATTATTTGAGCCAACATGTCATGTGGTCTAGGTAAAGGCTCTTGTACAGCCCGAGACACGGCGACGTTGTGTTCTGTCGTCTCTGTCATGGGGGTTTGAAACGATTTCACGCTAAACAACAGAGTGTTTTCGCACTCGATTGCCAGCTGGCTGGTATGATGGTAGTGGCCCGGCTGATGAGTCTGTAAGGACGAAACACGTGCCTTGGGCTGTACAAGAGCCTTTACCAGACCACATGACATGTTGGCTCAAATAATAATGAGAGGATCTTTTTTGAAGATTTTGAGAAATCTGGCCGTCACAGCTAATAGCTCTCAGGTCAGTGAATTAGACGATGGAGCATCATCCACATCAGTCAACACCGGCTCAGGGGTGACTCGTCGAGTAGCGTGGAAACGCCTTTGTCCCGAATCCTTTAATTACAGCCGAGTTGGAGTACGGAATAACGCTTTCCACTACTGGCGGAATCTGGTGGACTTATTTGGAGTCTTCATGAACGGTGTTTGAGATCCACTTGTGGAGCACGTAAAAGTCCTCGGCTATCAAAAAATCAAAGATTGGGAAAAGACGACGGAGGGTGTCATTCATAATTTAATTTATTTTTACAGCGTTACAAAAAGGCTTTTTCAAAAACCGGCCACGCACGGCTCTAGCCAGAAATCTAAGCTTTTCACCGATTACTAACACTCCTACGAAAAGTTTCAGACAACGAATGAGATCAGTTTTCTCTTGTCGCCCTCTAACAATGTAAACTTTATTTCTTCAGGTACGAGCGCATCCTCTCCATTTCGTCTATAACACACTGATGCTGAAGGGTGATAGAAGGCTTGCTCGAACAAAGTACAAAGAAAAGTCGAGTCCGAGGAGGTCATTCAAGCCTGTTTTGAGGAGAAGATTCTCCATAAACGACAACTAACAGAGTGTTTGAAAAGATTCCACGCGAAGACCGTCAGCGATGTGAGTGCTATAAAGAGATGTTGGCTAAAAAAGGCATTTCTTATTTAAAATCGTGCTGAAAGCACAAATACTAGGTGTGTTCGATGTAAAACGCACTTCTACTCAGAGTGTTGTGATCCGACTCTGTAGCCCCGGCGACGTTACCTAGTTGCTGTTTCTAATCAGAAACAGATATTTCATAAGTATTCATTGTATTTGTATTGCACTGATTGCTTAATGGTATTATTTGATTTGTACTATTGTTTTTGCTTTCCTGTGTTATGTAATGTGTAAATATAATATGTTGTCATAAGTTGCAGATTGTTGAAAACTATTCTTATAAACTGCGGATTGTTGAATAAACGGTGACGAATAAATTATGAGGATTGATCGCTTGTGTTACGGTAATACTATAAAAGAAATGGTGTGGGCTGGTGTCCCAGTGATTCGAGCAAAAAGGTTAAAAGGATAAAGCTCTCAGCGTTGAGCAATCACTAAAGGATGCGCCATGCATCTCGTCTTCAAAATCGAACTTTGTTTGAGTGATCGAACGCATATGTGGCCATTACAATAACTCGCGGTGACGTCCCGCTGTATCGAATCAGTGGTGCTTATTCTCCCAGACAAGTGTGAGACTAGTGTGATACTAATTTACCGACTCCTGAGGGAAGGATGGCTTTGCGGGCCATGAACTTGAAATCGAACCATCGATCTTATGTGCGTCGCAGACATCCCTTACCACTGCACCACATGCGCGCGAATAATTTCAAAACTTCATCCAAAACACTGCAATTTTGAGGGGAGAGATTCTCAAATTTTCGAGCATATTATGGCGAAAACAAGAAGAACAGACGTGATTGGAGCGGGCGGGGTGAGGGGGTGGAGCCAGACACGCTCCTTGGCCCTTGGTAGTCAAACGTTTGAAACATCTAAAGTATTTTACCCGTCACCAAACAAATTTGAACGCGATTGTACCCGTCACCAAACAAATTTGAACGCGATTGGGAGGCTAAAGTGTCGGCTCTTCTTTCGTTCTCAATAATTCAAATGCCTCAAGTTGCTATGAATTACATAGCTATGACAAGAAAGAGGAATCGTTAAATAACGAAAGTCAGAGACTGTGGGCATACTACTACTGCAATGTTGCTTATCAAAAATGACCTTCATTTTGTTGCACCCATTAATTTAAGCGAAGTTATTAATAACTTTGAATGAAGTTGTTACCAAAGATCATTTGATATGGATGATAACTAATCACAAATTCGCCCTCATCAGTTCACAATGATTCGATCCACAATGACTCGATTGTCTACAGCCCCGGTTCACTACAATTTCGGTCCTCGTATCCTATCTGCCTCGGAGAGTAATGGGGAGCATTTTTACGAACACTATATTAGCCACAATAAAATATTTTCTAGCTGTCACTTCGCCCAGAAACTCATTGGATGTTTCCCGCATACTGTTCCATTCAAATTCTCACCTATTACAAGCTGCTAGTCGTTGCGAGAAGAACACACACCACGCCTACTGATTGCCTCGCGGCGAAGTCCCGCCAATTCAACCAGAGCCCAGGTTTCGTGTTTGAATTATTATACCTGCTCAGCAACAGCTACATAGTGAATGCCAGTGTCAACGGGGACAACGCCGAAAGTTGGCTCCAGAAGCGCGTGAAAAGCGTTTGAGCGATTTAGTTCCCCTTCGTCCAGAATAACGCTCAGCATTACATCGTGAGGTCGACTCTCCAAAGGAACTAAACTGGACAACTGTGGCACATCCACCGTATATCACTAACACGATTAAATCTTTCAATCCTTGAATCAGCATCCGCGAAAGAAAAATTCAAGGACTAGAAATAGCTCAAAAATGGCCTCACCAATTTCTTTAATCGCGAGCCTTATTCTTTCTGGGAGCAAAGCATCCAGTCTTTGTCCAGTATATGATGCATATCATTGATCATAATGTTGATTACATTGTGGATTAGTTGATCTCTTGAAATAAATAACAATTAAATTGCAAAAGGTGTCGAAAGGAGAAAAACTTATAGGACAACGCGATAACTCACGAGTTTTACAACATATATGACTCATTGCATTAAAGAACTTCTCATTCTTTTAGGTGTTCTATCCTACACCTTTTTATTACTTTGATAAGATATGACAGAATTTTTCGAGACTTGTTTGCTTTTTTTGAGAGTTGAATTACGGCAATGTTGTCTGCTAAATACTGATAAGAGAGCCACTGTTTGATTTGAATACTTTCTATAAGTACCAAAGATTTATGATTCAATCTCACTTCGAGCAAACTAAACGTTTCATACATTAAGTTTGATAAATTAGTGCCATCTTAGATATTAAGAACAGAAAAAAGCTACTTTATAGAACGTTTGGTTTTCCTTGAGTGGGTAAGCTAGGTAAGTTGACTCGACAAGTAAAAATAACCAGGTCGCTCGTCGAGTGTGTCTAAGCTCTATATCTCAGTTGATTTTTTAATCTAAGTAACGTCCATTTCTCTCATTGTGTCACATAACATCGGTGACTTCTCCCATATGAGTGCTAAAAAGTTGTGGTTTTTGCTTAATGAGCGGAATGCTAAATTGCCTGGTGTTAGATTCTTAATGAATACGAATGCTAACCGGATACTTGCTGTTAGATCAAAACTAAATCAAAAGATCGACTGTTTTAGAACCCTGTAAAAAAACATTCACAATAATTCCAGAAAAGATTGCTTTAAGCTCAAAAACGAGGTTGTTACGCCAGGGTCATACACCGGTGTTTCGGAGGTTGGGGCGGGGGTCACTGACGAGGAGGACGAACCCCCGAAACACCGGTGTATGACCCTGGCGTAACAACCTCGTTTTTGAGCTTAAAGCATTCTTTTTTGGTGTTAACCGGATAATTACACATCATGTGGTATAGTACGTCTAGGATCTGACGAAGGCATAGTCGTTGGAACGTCAGCATTCGATTTTCAAAAACAAGAAAAGGCCGTCGATCCCGTACCAATGTTGATCGAAGAAAAGGACAATTTATAAGAAATGCCACAGTCTCAAGAATTTGTTTTTTCTTCCTCATCGGCCACAAATGAAACTTAGTGTAATGAACAGAAGCGCATCTTCTTGCTGCATACGACGACTATAGTAGCTTTGATCGATTTTGAACTGTGTATTTTGCTATCGACGTCTTTAAATTTCAAAAGAACCTAAAGCTAGCCAAAGTGTTTTAAAACAAATATACTCAGAGGTAATAACGCGTTGAACTGAGTCAAGCCGCCTTGATAACATTTAAATTCCACTAATAATATTATTTTTTCCACAACATCGTGGCAGCAGTGCAGCAATTGACGATACCGTTAGATTGTAATTACACTGATCTATTTTGTCTTCTGCCATCGCACAGAAATTTCCCTCCAGTGTAAAAGATCATTTCTCATAAAACATCTGTGATACCGACTAATTCAAATAAATAGTGAATTGTCGTAACTGTTATATTCTGCGGGACGAAACTAATTAATTATTCTTTTACTTTGATGATTTCATAAGAAATTGTGATTATTTTTGTGCAGTTATTCAGAAATGTGTAACCGGAATGTTCTCAAGTAGGTGGCTGATTGAATAAGACCTCACTACCATAACGACATAGTCATTGGTTAGGTATTAGATTGAGGAAAAAGTTCCTTAAAACCCACTGAAAATGCTGTTCAAAGTTTACAAAAAAATTCAAAGTTTATGCATAAATGCATAAATTCAATCTAAAACAAGAACAATTATTTCCAAAATGCAGATAATCATAACCACAATCTTTTGTCAACAATCTGCAATTTTCCAGTCTAGATTCTTTTTTTTTATTTCGAGTGCCACTTGCAGTGGTATGATATTACAGTATACACAATATGTGGAGTACTGTGTGAAAACGTTTGCGTCAAACAGGATTCGAACCCAGATCTCACTCTTTCCAGGAGCGCATGCTGACCACTGCACTACCGACGCTCGTTTTGCAGAGCACTCTTATTTACGCTATAACGCGTTTTTGCACAGTACTCCACATATTGGGTATACTGCAATTTTTCAGATCTTCGTAATACCGTTTCTTGGGCTTTGAATTTAGAATGAAAATCTTAACATACCCCTTCATTTCGAACAAATATCTCAAATCGTTGTCCATGCAGGAATTGTTCCATTGAGTGGAAAAGACCATAATAGGACGGCGCAACATGTAAACTGTAAGCTGGATGTGGCATGACCTCAATTTCCTTCAACTCATCGAACTTTCTTCACTCTTCTTTACGGTGCGTGATTTGGCGTTCTCTTGATGAAACAGCGCGCCCTTTCGACGAAGCTATGTCGGGTACTTTTCCTTCAACGCAGCTTGGAATAGCGTTGCCATAGTAGCTTCCAACGGAAATATTATTGAGATATTCGCGTAAATTTACAATAATCGACCCTTCGTGAAATAAACATAAAATTTGAATTTTTGGCGAGTGTTAAAGAACTTTTTCCTTAACCTAGCCTTGCGCTCTAAAAACGATTCGTCGTGCATATGTAGGGCTTGTCTTCACGAGGCTAACCTACGTTGATTGTTTTTACTCTTAACCGATTTCGGCATGAGTAGCACGATATTTGTAATATCTAGAAAACTAAGAACACATCCAAAGGTGAATGTTCAAAATACTCAGTGATCATGAGTATAACTATTCCTTAGATTATGTAAAGGGAATATAAACTATTAATCAATTATACCTTCATTAATTAGCCTCTACTTCGCATTAAACTACAGCTGTCTCTTTTCTTTCTGGAAGCTCTACGAACGCTCAGCATTAGAGAAAAGTAGAAGATAGGTGTACATTTTCCAAAGATTATACTTAGCAATACAAGCATAATTTTTGTTGTATAACTATTTCTTTCTCAAAAATCGTTATCCTCAAAATCCTATAAAAACCATAATACGAATAGTTTGCATTTGCATATCTCTATGTTTGCTCATATTACAGCAGAAAATAATCAAACGGCGGAGTCAAATTTATAGAATAATTCTAATGAGAGCTTCCTAATACGCTGTAGTAACGGCAAAGAGAAACTACGTTTCGCCTTCAGAGTGCGTGCTTCGTTATCGATCATATTCGCCTTTTCAGTAGCGTTTTACAAGTCATTCGATGGCCCAGGAAATGTAGATTCAGTTTATTATTTCTTTAAACTGATTTTTCAGCGCGCCGTAGCAAGGAAATTTAGATCACATTTCACACCCCAAGTAATTAGTCCGTCGCTTGAACTTCGCAGTGGATGTATTGGTGCTTGTATAGTAGATTCATAGTCTGGAGACAGTTTATGATAAGAAAGATTTATATGCTAATGAAGGCCTTCTATAAAGATTTTTCTAGTAAAAGTACTGTCACGTGTCCCAAAAGTCCCACTTTCAACAAGAAGGCCATATCAACGCAGAAACAACGTATCTCCATCTCCTGTTCCATGCACTCTGGTGATATGGAAAAACGTCATTTAAAAATAAATTTTCTTCAATGAATGACTTTTTCAAGAAGCTTATGTAGTGTGACTTTTAGTGCCCAGTCGGAATAAGTCTGATACAGTCAACAATCATCGATTCGTAGAGTACTTCCTTGAAGAAGTTGCAGATTTCTGACTCAAGTTTTCAAACCTTCCACGGATGTTGTTAATCTTTTGTTCAAATATTTATTCGGCAATCATTAACTTCTACAATTAGCACCGATAAATTCCAGTTCTCCCTAAACAGTGCCGCTCAACAATTTACTAGCTTTCATAGAAATTTGCTTGTTACATTCAACAATTCATGTTTCACTGATGTAAAGAAACCCTACTATTCAGAGTTTCAGAATATTTATTTGGACATAATTTCGCCCACAACATCAGCAACTAGCAGCTCTACAATGGCCTGCATAAAAGCAAACCATTTTACGTACAGTCCAATTTCTCACAGTAACGTGGAAATTGGGCATAATTACACGCACTACAATCACATTGTGTAGAAAATGTGATAGCTGATTTATCTTGAAGCTAATTTGAAACCATCATACTTTGTGAGCTTGATACAGCAGCCAATCCATTGCACTGTCGAAACATCAGGCTTTGATTGCCAGAAAAGAACAGATGTGTACACCTAAACTGTATAATAGAATTTGAAGCGTGTGTGAATAAATGATAAAACGCGAGTCCCGCTACAATTACTATTAGGTGTACAAATATGACTCCGCCGTTTTCTTCGGTGTAATAACAGCAAAATGAGCTCATGCAAAATTATTATTTTGCTTGGAAGCGCATCATAAACGTTGTTTTCCTAAATCAATTTTACATAAAAAAAATATTTTATATAGCAACTGCTGCGCCCGAAAAGAGTTATTTGCGGGAATTGTGCTCTGCCGATCTATAAACCTCAACTAAGTAAAACTGCATGATTTTGATATCGTTCAATTATTCATTTTCTTACGAACATTTTGGTATACAACTTGACTATACTTGCCTTAAGATGGAGCTTTCGTAGGAATAAATTCTCTTGCTACTCACGCACGAATGGCTCTTAGGGAAGAATGCTAGTGAAGCTGCACGCATAATTAATGGAGCTTAGGTTTATGGCGCGGTTACAGAAAAGGCGGCTAGGAAGCGGTTCGCAAAATTCAGAGCTGTAGAGAACACTCTGAAAAATCAGCTGCTCTTGAGCAGTCTACAGCAAGCTCCATTAACCTTGTGCAGCGCTTCACTAACGTTTTCCTCTACGCGCCATTCGTGCATGAGCAACAAGCGAATTTGTTCCCTTGACATCTCCATCTTAGAGCAAGCATAGATAAGATGTATAACAAAATGTTCGCCAGAAAATGTGCAAATGAACGATGCTGATATCATGCAATTTTAATTACTTCTGGTTGATAAATTTAGTGCTTGTTGCTCTGGTGTCAAAACTTATGGAACAACTTAATATTACTAAGTTCCACGCTTGACCCTCATTTTTTGCGCAACACCAATTTGACCAATTCAAGCCTGATTAAATTTTGTAAGAACCTTTAGAGAACGCTGTAAGAGTGAAAAGAATCTTACGGACGTTTCATCCTCGAAGTGGCTAATACTTCGCTCATACTTTATAATAGACTCACTTAGCAGAGTAAGAGAAAAGTAATTAGCTATCACTTGTAAACTTTTTGAACAAAGTTTCTTCTACAACAGCGTCGCAAGAAACCTAGAGTTCTTTCAGAATGGAGAAAAGTTTGAAAAGAAACAACGAAAATCGTGGCCATCTGACGTGCCAGTTTGAGTCGCTGCGCGCAACGCTTTCATCCTGATTTGTCTATGATATTTCATGAATCTTATTTTATATCCGCAAAACCGAGATTGACACTGTTTTCTAGCAGAACGATGATTTCTGTGAAAAGGGATTGCGTTAGTAAACGTTTCTTGTAGGAGAAGAGAGTGTGGGAGGACACAAATCCACGAAACGGTTTCATTCTGATTTATGATTTTCATGAATGTTTTCTCTCTTATTATCCCGAAAACTCGAGATGATTAGAGGATAGTTCTCATGCTCAAAAGATACAAAATATTAGCACTGTTTCATTCCAATCTGTTTATGTACAAAGATCAACTTTCTTCTTTTGTTTTCAGTGCGGATTAATGAGGTTGATACCATTTCATAACTTCTGCTTGAGTTCTATGAATAGTGAAGCGTTAGTAGACTTCTTAATTGAGAGACGAGAGTGTGAAAAGATACGAGATAATAGAACAGTTTCACTTTGGCTTTTCTATGAATATTTACTGAGTTTTGTTCATTTTTAAGCTTGGAATACCGATTTTGGCAGTGTTTTCTAGTCTGTCAGTGATTTTGTAAGAGTTTTGAATAAGAAAGAGAGCGTGAAAAGACACATTTTAAAACTATTTTATGCTACTTTGATTGTAGCCTTTTATGAACCTTTTTCTTTTTCTTCCCCTTCGTTTGAGAAAGTTACCTGCTGCACAACTACACTGCCATCACAGTAAGCAACGTTATACTGCCTATTATTTGTTGCAAGAAATTTCTCCTTCCTTGTATTTAAGCGTAAAAAATATTAATCCAAGAATTAATCCAAGACATCGAAGACCTTCATAGAAAAAACGGATATCATCTTAAGCAGCGCACAGGTTGATATGCTGATGCATAATTAACGTATCTAAGTAATAGTTGTACTAGTGCGTTAACTGAGTGGCCTTACACCCTCAGCTTTCTCGATCAGTTTTCGGCCTTCCAAATATTCCAAACACCGCTTTGTTCAAAGCTAAGCCTCAAGACGGGTGTAAAAAGTAAAGACGCTCGACGTAGATGAGTTCTGAGAAACACGCCTTGCCTTTATCGAATATTCCATTTACAAAGTTTGGCATCAATCTGACATTAATTAATCAAAGATTAATGAATAGTTGGAAATTTACAGGGCTTTCTATATGACTGATTACCATTCGTTTAGTTCAGTGTAACTTTGACCATTTGGCTGCTCGCTTCAAATCAGGCAGGCCTAAATCTTTTTTTGTGAAAAACTGCATAAAAGCAATAACGTTTTTATGCGAGATCCAGTACAACGAAGCGGCATTGCTCTGGATTGGATAATAACTATGAGGGTTTACTTTTACATTTATTGATATCACAGGTGAATTTTTTACTAAAGAACAGTCCACCACACTGAAATTGAAAATCTGTGCCGTGAAAAGATAATTTATGTGAATATGATTACAGTAGACCAGTCTCATCATCTGCTGTACTGCCGCCATGATGTCCTGAAAAAATTAATTCTCAAAAAAATCTTGAATTTCTCTGGCTGTTGAATAGTCATGAATAAAGGTGTCAGACCAATGTTCGACTGGTTTATAAGACCTAGCTATGAACATCCAATACTGTCAAAGAAAATATTTTTAGCCCTTTCCAGCTTGGCACATCAGTGGCTTACGTGGGTTCCAGCGATCTCGGCCGCCTCATCAGAGCCACATGTAGGGCGCATTGT